TGGTTGTATCTTAAATCTATGTATTTATCGTTGTTTTGTGTCGCTATGACGGATCGTGTTAGCATGATTGTAACTTAAATTTGTGCGTTTATCGTTGTTTTGTGTAGCTATAATTTGTTTATTTGTTGTTTTTCTTTTAAATGCCCCCGACGCGACGACAACGAAACATAGACAGGAGGCGTAACCGTGATAACGACCGCAGCTACAGAACAGTGGCGCGTAATAGGCTTTAACTCATCACAGTCAGCACCTGACCCTGGACAATCTCAACTATTAAGTTACAAATGCGCCCTAACACTACCCCAAAACGACTTTTCGTTCTCAATTGGCCCTCAATGACCTGTGTTGCCTGTACAGCGAGGCATTTTGAGAAGGAGAAAACCGGCTGGAATGCTTTAGGTTTATCAATAACGAAGATAAACATGGTCTGAGTTACACTCCGGTAATCTTTGAGTTGACTCTTTTAAACTCATTGTAAATATGACTGTTATTCGTTTTGAAATAACTCCTGTAATACTTTCCAATTGCTCGAATTCGAGCAACATGTACACTAGTAGTAATTAATACAGACTGGCAGTTCAGTTTGGTTCACAATTAATTCTTTATTTACGATAAAATGTGTCATTAAATATTCCTATGTGTCACATGCAGGGCAAAAGAAAATGCGTGTACGTCAATATTTTACAATGTCTACAACTTTATTAAAGTATTATCTTGTCATAACTTCAGCACTACTTGTTCTGAATCTTATTTTACTAAGCATACTCGCCTTTGGCTCGCTACTGTATTAGTCACTAGTATTAACCACAGCCATGGTTTAATTCGATTCGTTACAAATCATTCAATCAAAATGCAATTAGAAACTACTTCCAGCCAGATATTTGGTTGGAATGTTGAATATTTTAGCCATTGTATAAAATAATAGTTTAATGTGACTGTGGGCAAAATTTTGTACGAAACACACGCTGTTGTATGATCTCGAGTAGCCGACCCAGTGTTAGCAACAAGGGGCCAAACACTAGGAACGTAGCGCCAGCGACGTCCCTTTCACTTTCAGCAATTTTACAACCCTCGCCACCCCTACACATGCAAAGAAAGAGAGACAGTAAAACAGCTGTTGAAGTCGATCGGGTCGACCTAGCCTCGGTCGTCAACTCGCTTTCTTTTTCTTCGCCTACAAGCGTTTGAATAGGGGCGCGAGAGAACTACTTGTGTAATGCGGCACGCGTAATACCAGAAAAGGCCTTCGGGTAGTTCTACAGAGCGCCGCCAGAATTGGGTCGCTGGAGTAGCGTTTGAGTTGCCACTTTGCTATTGAAGACTCTTAACTTGTAAAAAAATAAATAAGTAATAAAGTCCAGTTAGTAGAGGCTATTTACAAGTATTTACAAACATACTAACTAAAAGGTGGGTTTAAACAAGGCCCAACTAGAAAAACAGGCCATGCTGCAGCACGGGCAGCGCAACACTACGTCACAGTGGTGGATAGTGGTACTAAACTCTTACCATTAAAATCTTACAAACAGCCAGCTTATTTATTTACCTAAAACGTATGGTAATGGCAATGGCAATGAATTTATCCATGAAATCTATCCACTAGTGTGACGTCATGGATCCTGCAGCATGGCCTGTTTTTTCTAGTGGGGCCTTGGTTTAAACATGGTTCCACATCATATTGTTGGAATAGCAATGACAACAGTGCAGTACAAGGTCAAGTTTTCAAGTAAATAAATGTGCTGATAACTCTCGCCGATTCTGCTGAATCCTGTAGCTACAACCAAACAGGTATAGTTTTATGAACAGGTTAATAGTAGTCCTTCGAGTCTTGTAGTGTTATCTCTTGTCTGTTAATAAAATTTGTTTAGTTCGTGTAAAATATTCTTGATGCATACGATGTGATTTTTCAATATAAATAGTAACAAGCTGCTATACCCGTGCGTTGCAACGGGAAGAAAATGTGACCCAGAGAGCTATTAAGGTGGTGCTGATTTGTGTTTTAAAATACAACAACTCTATGATTTAGTATGAAAATATAAACGAATTTAAAAGTGTAAACCTACTTACTTTCAAACCCCTACTTTTAATGTTAACTAGCTGTGAACCCGTTCTACGCACGGGGATCTTATAGTATTCAGTTGAAACCTTCTTATATAAAGAATAGCAGTTGGTTTGCATATTTTCAGGTATGCTGGCCAAACTATTATACATAACTTCATTTTTATGTTGTTTGTTGTTGTTCCGGATCGGTGACAGTAAATAAAAGGTTAAAATACCTGTGTCCGCCGGTCGATCCTAATGTATCCTATTACAGGAGATGCATTTCGGCGAAATTAAATCGCCATCATCAGTCCTAATATAAGGCTCTTGAGCCTCCCCATTAGGTGCGTCTTGGTGTTTTTGAAATACATACACGAACTGTACACTTATACACATGACGAATAAAACATAAATACAGGGTAGGCCTACTTTTATTTTTACTATAGACAGTAGACGCACGTCGGTCGTGTGCCGAGTCTCGACTGAAACGCTCATTGAAAAAATTTAAGTTTCCCAGCCATATACAACACTGATTCAAGGTCTTTTCCCGGTTATCAAAACTCAAGAACAATTTTATACACAAAGAATCTCTATTTTCATTTACGGTTACCCTAAAAATAACTTACTTGGTTTGGATTTGCTTTCAAACCGTGATTGGAATTGGTTGCGGTATTTGTAAACAACATTCAATGTAAACATATCAGTGACAGCTAGAAGAAATAATCTTGATTCGAACAGCTGTTCGTTATTTCATAGATGAATATGTAATAAACATTGGGAGAAAACTTTACAAAAAATCACACAAAATTGGGTTTTTAATCGTCCGTATTTTTATTTACAAAGTAGTGACGCCGTATTTTAATGGCTAAAGACAATCTCGCCAATCCAGTGAATACATTAAAATGATTTGGAACTTGATAGGTACTCTCGTTTTTCAGGAGTAGGCCGCGTAAAATGGCTCTTGGGTCGTAACAGACTGGAAGACAGACAGAAATTTAGATGAGACTTGTTTCGGTTTCTTTAATGTACAAAACGTAAAAATAACCTAAAAGTTTATGATTCTGAGCAATGTACAGACAAAACTCTAATTTTATTTATATAGATGGATCCAAAAGAATATTACAACATACCTTAGTGTAGTAATAGCATCAATTGCTTCATATTGATGCTTCATGAATGACATGTTTTACCATAATTCTTCAATTTTAGTCAAGCCTCTTTATACGTAGCTTACTATATAAATTACAAAATGAAACTTTGAGCAATACTTTACAAAACGTAGACAACCTTTCTTTAAAACCAAACATAACCTTCCTCAATCTACATAAAGCGCCACAAACATATTTTTCGAGTAAATAAACAAACACCAGTTCATTGTACTGACCAGCTGTTTCATGAACTAAATTAAATTAAAAAATCTTCTAAACTTTAGAAGCATGCCAGGCGTAGCCCTTTGGAAATCAGCCTGTCGGGCAGAGCCCTAAGGAAATTCACCCATTTCAATACTTTTCGGCAAATCTACACACTCTAAGCTTCATTTTGATGTGCCATATGCCTATATTTTTATTTGGTAAATGGTCTTAACCGTTTACATAAAATTTGATTGTATCACTTTAATAATATAATAGATTTTGAAAAGTAATTGGTATTTTAAAACAATTTAATTATGATTCTCTGCCGTTTTTACTGTTTGTTTTAAATCATTGTGACCTGTTGCCTCAGGCCTAGTGCAACAAACTGTGATATTGTTTTTAAGATTTTCTTAATGTTTGTTGTTTCTTTATTTCTAAACTATTACTTACAATCGTCCATATAAGTTTATATTTCAGGTATGTAACACTTAAAAACTATTTTCCTACAGTCACCCAACAAAGTTGGCTTCCTTGTACTGTTTATATTATAGAAAGCTCCTTGCTAATTGCTGCATATTTGTCATATTTGTGCATATTGCTACTTTGTCGTACGGTTTATACTTTGTCCTACAGTTTATACTTTGGCGCACATCAGGATTCCAACCAAACAACACAAAACAGCGTGGTTTTATTATGCACGTAATCCGTGTACGCTTGAAAATAGGTTGGCAGCACTTAAAGATAATAATACTATGATCAGCTGATTGACTATTATAACTACGATTTAACCTGTCATTTCGTGTTTATAGTTTATGTTCTATTTTCGTTCAACACTTGGTTTGAACACAATCTGAAGTATAGTATTTGAAAGATGAATTATAAGTGGGCCTAACATCTTTAAAAATAATGAACTCAGTGAATGTAATTGTGAATATAATGGTAGACCAGAAATAGCAGAAACTGAAAACATGTTTTATTAAACCTGTTACCTGAAAAATCAAGAAAGAAGTATGAACGAGCATACAAACTGTTTTCCTCTTGGCATGTAAGTAAGAAAGTTACAAAACTGTCAGAAAATGTTTTATTGCCATATTTTGAAGAACAATCTACTTGTTTATTATGTGTTTATACTGATTATTACTGTTTATACATGTACTGTTGAAAATAAGTAACACTTAAAGATACTACGACTACAATCAGCTGATAGGCCTACAGTATTTCCCATTCCATTCATGGCTTGGGTTTAACCTAACCTAAAAACGTGCTGTATAGTGTTTGAAAGACTAATTATTTATATGCTTTATTAGTGACTGTAGGAAAAATATGTAACACGTGTGCAAAAGGCCTTTGCTCACTAGTTACACAAATAACTATAAGTAGCTATTACATTTAAAACACTTCACTTTTCTAGATTGGACAAATTAGCTCTTTTGGCATATTAACTAGTCAAATAAGCTTGACCTAGTTTCTGTCACCTTCTTTAGCATGATAGAAAGCTAAAGCAAAAGTTGAATACTGCAGTGCTAAGGCTCCTCTTTCCAAACAATAACCAATTTATTTAAGGTCAAGAGTAGAAAAAAAGATAGTATATAAATTAGATTCAAGTTCTTATATTCAGATTTAATGATACTTATTTACAATATTTCACAATGGATAACCCTAAACTACTCGTATAGTAGAACACCTGACATCTGACCTCGGCATAATCGACTCCCTATTTTATGTATCTGAGTCGATTCTTGAGTACAAGCTTGAGAGATCAAACTAATTCAAGAAATTGTGCTCCAGCGAAGCTCTTATTTTCACTGCAGTTATTTAAGTATTTCACCTTTAGTTGACACAAGTAATGGAATTTCCCAGACTTCAACTCTCCCACCCAAGTCTCCCACTCCAAGCAGTCCAGTGCTGAAAAATTATCAGATATGTTAATACTACAAAAGTGTTTTGTAATTTGTTTATGAACAGAAAACATCTCAAACAAAATATGTAGCTAGTAGACCAAGTAGAAAGTAGAGAATAAACCTTAAAAATATATATATATCAAAGACATCCTTTGTAAACATAAAAAAATTGTAATTGCAGCCTTTATTAATTTCTTATTTACCCAACCGTTTTCAACACTAAGTTTACATAAATGTTGATTAGGAACTGTTTCCTTTTATGGATTAGATCTTGACCTATGTGTTATAATTTCTAATAGACTGCATTTGAATTATCAGCTGATCATATGATCTTTATTCTTGTTGATTACTATTGTTTATGTTTAGTTTCTATTCTATGTTAATGGAATAATACACTTTTTTATCTGATTTATCTTTTATTATGTTATAAAGAGTTACAACAGTTTTGGCGACGAGGTAAAAGTATAAATTTGTTTATTCATACATTAATGACCAGTTACATTTTTTTTTCAATTACCTTTTCTTCAAATAACATGTTAATAACTACATCTCAGGCTTAGGAACATTCAAGTTACAACAACAAAATGAACTCAGAACAATTTGACAAATTCATAGAAGGCCAGAAACAACAAATGGATCTTCTATTTCTGTTGTTTGAGAAACTAGAACAAAAAATGAAAGATAACACACCAGATCCAACTGCTCAATTTGAAAGTTACAACTCAGAAAAAGAAAGATTTTCAGCCTATATTGAACGATTTGAAAACTATCTCAGCATGAAGAATGTGTCAAACAAAACTAAAAAAGCTCAAATTCTATGTGCATCAATCGGTTCTATCCATTACAACAACTTAGTTGCATTCAAAGGACCTACAAAGAAAATCAAAGACTTGGAATATGAACAGCTAGTTGAAGCCTTTGGCGAAATGCTATTGCCTAAAAAGAATACTGTAGTGTCGCAGCATTACTTTTTCTCCACTTACCAATCAGAAAGTGAAAACATACCTGACTATGTTGCAAGTTTGCAAAAACGACTTGCTGACTGTGAATTTTACATAAAATGTGAATGCAGAGAAAACATTTCAACAGCTCACATTTTCTTAAGGGCTCAATTCATTAGGGGCATTCGTGATAATAGCATTCGAGAACAACTTTTACAAGGAAAGGAAGAGAACTTTGATGAAATAGTCAGGAGAGCTATAGCTCTTGAAGCAGCCCAAATCCAGTGCAAGGAACTTTCAAACATTTCAAAACCTCTGATCCCTAGTTCTTCAGTGCCAGATATAATGAAAATTCAGAAGACCACTAGACACGATCATCCATCCACTCGGACATCATCATCATCATCATCAACATCATCTCCCTGGAAAAAGCCATCATACAAGCATCGATCAAGCCAAAGAATCGATTATGAGTCCTTAGGAATCAACAATCTTTGCTTCAGATGTGGAACATCTAACCACCGATCAAACCAGTGTCGAATAAGGCGTGAAAAACTATTCTGTGAAGCATGTAAGAAGAATGGCCACATTCAAAAAGTTTGCATCAATACCCTGACCAAGAAATATGCTTCAAGTAAACAAGTTAACCGATTCTCTGACAATGATATGATCAATGACTCACAATCTGATTGTTCCTACGGGGCATGCAACATAATCAGTTCAGTATCCAAAGATCAGAAAATCATCAACCTCTACGAAATTGAACCTGGACATGGAAAGTACATAGTAGAGGTAGCGATAAACCACAAGAAACTGAAGATGGAAGTAGATTCTGGTGCACGGTACACAATTTTACCAGAGGATAAGTTCTTAGCATTGAATTTGGGAATAGATCTTCAACCTTCAAATCTAAATTTTCGAGCTTATTCCAATGATATTGTGCCATGTAAAGGAAAAGCAAAAGTTACATTACAATATAAAAAACGATCTTTAAAAGCAGAAGTGTATGTAGTTTCATCAGGCCACGATCCTATTTTAGGTAGAGATTTGATCCGTGCTTTCGACATTGAACTAAAACAAATCGATCATGACATGAAAACTAATCCAAAAGTCCATTTGGTTGATGGCGACAGAAAGAACTTTCAAGATATGAATAACATTCTGAATGAGTTTGCTTCAATTTTTGAGGAAAAAATTGGTTGTGTTCCTAACATTCAAGTTTCATTAACTTTAAGAGATGACGCAAAACCGGTATTTACAAAAGAACGTGATGTCCCATATGCACTTAGAGAACGTGTTGAAAAGGAGTTGGAATCTTTAGAAAAAGAGGGAATCATCACTCCGATTGCGACAAGTGACTGGGGATCACCTCTCGTCATCATTCCCAAACCAGATGGTGGACTGAGACTTTGTGTGGATTACAAGTGTGGTGTAAACGAGAGGTTAGTCTCGGCTAATTTTCCTATAAGGACGGTTGAAGATGTTCTTAACAGTCTCCGAAATTCCAAATACTTTTGCAAACTTGACCTTTATAAAGCGTACTTACATTTAGCAGTAGACAAAGAAAGTAGTGAAATCCAAACTATGTCAACACATAAGGGAACCTTTCTCATGAACCGTCTCAGTTTTGGCATAAAAACCGCTCCCTCAGAATTCAACAGAATTTTATCACAAATCCTCAATGGACTTAATAAGTGTGAAGCTTATTTCGATGACATAGTCGTCCATGGAGCAACCCAAGCAGAATGTGCTCACAACCTTCGAATGTGTTTAAGAAGACTAACAGAATACGACTTACATCTAAATCGAAAGAAATGTACATTTTTTGAAACAAAGATTGAATACTTAGGACACCTAATTGAGCAAAATAAAATCAGCAAATCTCCCGAGAAGATAAAGGCAGTGATGGAAATGTCAAGATCGCACGACGCTGATGAGGTCAGAAGATTTCTTGGAATGATTACTTATTACTCACGTTTCATTCCAAATCTATCTACGTTGTCCTGTCCCTTAAGGGAGTTGCTCAAGAAGAAACACCGTTTTCAATGGACGACAGAATGTGAATCATCCTTCCAAAAGCTCAAGCAAGAGATTTGCAGTGACAGAGTCCTGATTCCTTATGATCCAAAATTGCCAGTTGTACTTTCTTGCGATGCAAGCCCTGTTGGCATTGCGGGAATACTTAGCCACATCGTAAATGGTCATGAACGCCCTATCGCTTACACATCCAGATCACTAACACCTGCAGAACAAAATTATAATCAACTAGATCGAGAGGCACTTGATATTATATTTTCTGTTGGAAAGTTTCATAACTACTTGTATGGAAGCCAGTTCACTCTTGTCACAGATAATAAGCCTTTGAGCAGAATCTTTAGTCATGACCACTCTTTGCCGAAAATGACAACAGCTCGATTACTTCGATATGCTTCATTTCTATCTGGATTCAATTATAAGTTGAAAAACAAATCAGGAGATGAAAATGAAAATGCTGATTGTTTATCTCGAGCACCTTTGTCTCAAGACTCAAGATCAACTGATATGAAGATAAATGAAGAAGTTCACCTTCTGTATGCTGAGTCACTTTTCCAAATTTCTTCAACTGCTATCACGAATCAGACCATTGCAAGTGCAACATTAAACGATTCTCATCTCAAATCTCTTATGAAAACTCTACAAACAAGCAACGAAGACACACCCTACACCCTTCTTGATGGAATTCTCTTTTGGCAAGATCGAGTTGTCATTCCACAGAGCCTTAAAAATTCAATTTTGAGAGAACTTCACACAACACATATCGGTATAACAAAAATGAAACAACTTGCAAGGCGGTATGTGTACTGGGAAGGGATGAACCATGACATAGAAGACCTAGTTAGATCTTGTGAAATCTGTGCTAAGCTCCGTAACAACCCCCCGAAGGTGATAGTACACCCGTGGGATCAGCCTCACTCCAATTGGGAACGTCTACATATAGACTATGCAGGTCCTTTCGAGGGTCATCATTTTCTAGTTGCCATTGATGCCAAGTCAAAATGGGCAGAGGTCCGAGTCATGAGACATTCTCCTACAACTGAAACAACAATACACACACTTCAAGAAATATTTTCATTCCATGGCTACCCCAATTCATTGGTCACCGATAATGCATCAATTTTCACAAGCGATGTATTCAAAGCCTTCTGTATTGATCATGGTATTACCCAAAAATTTATTGCCCCAGGCCATCCAGCTACAAATGGATTAGCCGAAAGAAATGTTCAAACTGTGAAGAAACGTTTAAAATCAATGGCAAGTGAAAAGGGCACCATGCCAGAAAAGGTCAGGAAAATACTTTTACGCTACAGAGCCACACCACTTGCATGTGGGAAAAGCCCAGCAGAACTTTATTTGCACAGAAGATTAAGAATAGAGCTGGATGCCATATTTCCTATTCCAAAGAAGATAAATAAAGAAAAAGAAGTTAGGCAGACAAAACATGTAAGATCGATGAGAGTAGGAGATAGAGCCCAAGTTCGCCTTTACTCTGGAAATGCCGAAATCTGGGAATTTGGAACCATCCAATCCAAACTGGGCTATCGACATTACATGGTAAAGCTTGACTCTGGACGCTTAATCAAAAGGCACATCAATCAACTCATAAGAACAAGAGTACCGCCTAAAACGACAAATCAACGGGAAGAAGATAATCAAAGACGCTCCACTAACCAACAGTCAGAAGATATCCAAAGACGTACTGTTAGGTTCAATATTCCAGGGATACCAGCATTACAGCGCTCTACAAACAGTGGTTCAACCATTGTCGGTCGTACGCTACAACGGCGTTCCACGACTGGTCAAATACCAGTAGTGGAGGCTCAACATCCTGAATGTGGCATCCATTTTCCTGATGAAGTCAGAATTCAAGATCAATCACCTCGACGTTCCTCGACTGGCCAAATACCGGTAGTGGAGGCTCAGCATCCTGAATGTGACATCCAGATTCCCGATGAAGTTGAGTCACCTCAGTTACGTAGGTCAACACGTGTTCGACAACCGCCAAGTTACCTTGAGGCTTATGTGT